GGTTTCATGTTGGGATCAATATCGACAGTATATCGGGTTTTATGTTGGGATCAATATCGACAGTATATCGGGTTTCATGTTGGGATCAATATCGACAGTATATCGGGTTTTATGTTGGGATCAATATCGACAGTATATCGGGTTTCATGTTCGGATCAATATCGACAGTATATCGGGTTTTATTGGGATTAATACTGAGTTTAACAGTATATCGGGTTTCATGTTATCAATATCGACAGTATATCATGTTGGGATCAATATCGACAGTATATCGGGTTTCATGTTGGGATCAATATCGACAGTATATCGGGTTTCATTTTGAGTTTAACAGTATATCGGGTTTCATGTTGGGATCAATATCGACAGTATATCGGGTTTCATTGGGATCAATATCGACAGTATATCGGGTTTCATGTTGGGATCAATATCGACAGTATATCGGGTTTCATGTTGGGATCAATATCGACAGTATGTCGGATTTTATATTGGGATTAATATTGAGTTTAATAAGAGTATGTCGGATTTTATATTGGGATTAATATTGAGTTTAATAAGAGTATGCCGGATTTAAGTTTGGGATTAATATTGAGCTTAACAGTATGTCGGGTTTTAGGTTGGTATTAATATTGAGCTTAACAGTATGTCGGGTTTTAGGTTGGGATTAATATTGAGTTTAAAGAGTATGTCGGATTTAAGTTTGGTATTAATATTGAGTTTAAAGAGTATGTCGGGTTTTAGGTTGGAATTAATATTGAGTTTAACAGTATGTCGGGTTTTAGGTTCGGATTAATATTGAGTTTAACAGTATGTCGGGTTTTAGGTTCGGATTAATATTAAGTTTAACAGTATATCGGGTTTTATATTGGGGTTAATATTAAGTTTAACAGTATGTCGGGTTTTATATTGGGGTTAGGTTGTAATTATGAGGTTCTGATTAAACTTAAGTGTACGCCGATGATCTGTTTGTAACTTTTTCTATTCTGTATTTTCAGAAAAGGTTGCTGTTTTCTCCCAGAGGGCGAGGAGTGATCCAGTAAATTAAGATCTCTCAGTTCTAGACGTGGACAATGGTGGTACTTCCATACAGAGAGGAAACGTTACTCTTTGTGTTTTTAATCGCTACAACAGCGACATCTGGACTGGGATCTTGGATGTAAGTGTTATTAATTTCTATAAAAATGTGATTGGCTCAGCATCATAAAACATCTTAAGATACTGATGTATTAGATTAGATGATAATAGGGCGAAAACCAATATTCTTAAATAATACTTTGATTTGTATTTTGGGCTACGGGTATTGAAACTCGGTTTTTAGCGTCGTAAGCCTCCGGAATTACCGCTGAATCACTGGGGAATCAAATGAGAGAAAAGTGAATAAGTTTGTTCACGTCACGTTTTCTTCGACAGATCGCTTTGACTTAACTTTGTTACTTTGCCTTCCCTTAATTATCACGTCCATCAGTTTTATTTATGATGTTCTTACTGCTATCAGGAACTGACTCATACCAATGTAAACCTATCAAGTTGCTGTTTATCATTATAATTGATAATATGTAGTCTTGGGAATAGGTATTGCTTCTTACTGGCAGCATATTACTTTCTTCCTTCGCCTCTTCCGATTTATTCATTCTCTCTCTCACACACATCTCTTGGTCTTCTCATTTTCTTCGTTGAATTCCTGTCTTTTATGTTCCTTTCTCAAGCCACGTGCGCTATCTTTTTATCCTTGCACCTATTTCCTGTACCAGATTATAACGTTTCACAACCGTAGGGGGTCTAGTAATCTTCATACCGCTCAATCCAATCATTTTCTAATGATTGAAAATGCTGCAATCCCATAGAAACTGACCAAAAGTCAGCCCCTTTCTTACTTTGTTCAACCTCAACCGATGTTCCTTACTCCTAACTTCATAACAGATACACCACATTCAAAACATTTACAACTGACTTACTACAGTATATGTTAAACACTGGTGTAATTGTCTCACTACAGTGTTTGTTAACACACTGGTCTAACTGACTCAATACAGTATATGTTAACACACTGGTCTAATTGACTCATTACAGTATATGTTAAACACTGGTCTAATTGTCTCACTACAGTGTTTGTTAACACACTGGTCTAACTGACTCAATACAGTGTTTGTTAAAATACTGGTCTAAATGACTAACCACAGTGTTTGTTTACACACTAGTCTAATTAACTCATTACAGTGTTTGTTAAAATACTGGTCTAACTGACTAACCACAGTATATGTTAACACACTAGTCTAATTGACTCATTACAGTGTTGTTAAAATACTGGTCTAATTGTCTCACCACAGTGTGTATTTACACACTAGTCTAATTGACTCATTACAGTGTTTGCTAATATACTGGTCTAACTGACTAACCACAGTGTTTGTTTACACACTAGTTTAATTGACTCATTACAGTGTTTGTTAGTATACTGGTCTAACTGTATCACTACAGTGTTTGTTTACACACTAGTCTAATTGACTCATTACAGTGTTTGTTAAAATACTGGTCTAACTGACTAACCACAGTGTTTGTTTACACACTAGTCTAATTGACTCATTACAGTATATGTTAATATACTGGTCTAACTGACTAACCACAGTGTTTGTTTACACACTAGTCTAATTGACTCATTACAGTGTTTGTTAACACACTGGTCTAACTGTCTCACTACAGTGTTTGGTCTTGTATAATCTTAGTTGAAAGTGTCATCTTACACGGATTAATATAACAATGTTAACTCTTTAGATCGAGCAGCAGATTTTGTTGTGTTTTTTGTGTGTTTCAGATTCGATTGAGATGCCCATTAATTTTACATTCCTCCGAAATCCGAATAAATGTTTTATTCTTAAAGAAGCAAGCATAACTTCGTCAATAGTTTATGTTTAAAATCCTGGTTAGTCATATTCACACATGAACACCAGTAACAAGAAACTAAGAACCACGAGTTTCTCAACTGCCAAGAAGTCACACCAAGACACAGAGTTCAGACCAAGACACAGAACTCACACCAACACCCAGAGCTCACACCAAGACACAGAACTCACACCAAGACACAGAGTTCAGACCAAGACACAGAACTCACACCAACACCCAGAGCTCACACCAAGACACAGAACTCACACCAAGACACAGAACATTAGCCAACACCCAGTACTCACACCAACACCCAGAGCTCACACCAAGACACAGAACTCACACTAAGACACAGAACATTAGCCAACACCCAGTACTCACACCAAGACACAGAACATTAGCCAATGCCCAGAACTGACACCAACACTCAGAACTCACACCAATACACACAGAACATTAGCCAACACCCAGTCCTCACACCAAGACACAGAACATTAGCCAACACCCAGAACTCACACCAACACCCAGAGCACACACCAACACTCAGAACTCACACCAATACACATAACATTAGCCAACACCCAGTACTCACACCAAGACACAGAACATTAGCCAACACCCAGAACTCACACCAAGACACAGAACATTAGCCAACACCCAGAACTCACACCAACACCCAGAGCTCACACCAAGACACAGAACATTAGCCAACACCCAGAACTCACACCAAGACACAGAACACAAACCAACACCCAGAACTCACACTAAGACACAGAACACAAACCAACACCCAGAACTTACATCAACACTCATAGCTCACACCAACACCCAGAGCCCACACCAACACTCAGAACTCACACCAAGACACAGAACACAAACCAACACCCAGAACTCAACCAACACTCAGAGCGCACACCAACACCCAGAATTCACATCAAGACACAGAACACAAACCGACACCCAGAACTCACACCAACACTCAGAGTGCACACCAACACCAAGAACTCACACCAACACACAGAACACAAACCGACACCCAGAACTCACACCAACACTCAGAGCGCACACCAAGACTCACATCTCAAACCATGACCTAGAAAAATTGAGTTTCTCATCTGACAAGCATGCTCAGAACTGTTATTAATGCTTAATTGAAAGCATTAAATACATTTTCATTTTTTAAACTTTGTTTTTAACCTCGACTAAGAGGAGAAAAAAGTCAGATTCAAAGTCTAAGTTTCCCTGTGGTCTGACTGTGGCGTCTGATGACAGACGGCCTTAACACGTTGAAACATTGTTCAGCATGTGTACTGTATTTAAAAATGTTTGAACGACCTTTCTCAAAATAGGAGAAAATAAGTGAAAATAGTTTCGTAACCTACAAAACCAGGTTGTGTAGGTTCTCAGTAAAACCAGTACAGGTTGTGTAGGTTCTCAGTAAAACCAGTACAGGTTGTGTAGGTTCTCAGTAAAACCAGTATAGGTACTGGTTTTACTGAGAACCTACACAACCTGTACTGGTTTTACTGAGAACCTACACAACCTGTACTGGTTTTACTGAGAACCTACACAACCTGTACTGGTTTTACTGAGAACCTACACAACCTA